ATTGACTTGGTCTTACCGGTTAAAGAAGGCGATCCTGTGGGATTTTTGGATTGATTGCTCGATGCTGGCGTGCCTATCATCTTTTCGTCAGCAACACAGCCCCACAAAGGCTGAGATGAGTTTCACTGCGGGTTTTTGAACTTGATTTCTTCATCATTCACAAACTCATCTCTGCAAACAATTCGAATACCGCTCACCTTATACTCGAGCCTAGCGATTTCAGTTCCTGTCTCTGGTCCCGGCCGCATTCTGTTTGCCTCCTGCGAGTCCCGTTACACGTATTCATGATTGGCCAATAGCGCCAGATTACAATAAAGATACCACATATTCTTGTTCTCCCTCTCCATCTATTTCTCAATCTTAATCATTTGCTGCAATGTCTACTACTTTGAAGAACCCTCACTCAGCCGGAGTGACAACCGTGGAAAATGTTTCCGTCTCTGAAGAGAATCTGACATGGACTAGCACCGGGACATCCGAGAGTGCTTCGCGTCATGAGCTTGTATTGGTTCACGAAGCAACAAACTCGCAATCAGGCTTTTCTCAATATCTACTCTTTATACTCAAGGAGGATCCAGAGAACAAGGAAATACCATTTGAACTCTCGATACTGAAGACAGACGAAATACCCACTGAGCTTCGAAGTCTCACAGTGGCTGGATTACCCCCTCATCTTAAGCACGGTTCTGTCAACGAGCATGGTGCCACAAACCAGGTGGACATTATTGTCTCGATCAAGTCGGGTGTCGGACTAGCCTCAAAAGTCTGGGAAGATGTCCTCCATCCTATTTGGACATATATCGCAGGAGATGATTCTGGCAAATCGACATATCGTCTTATTCACACAGAAAGCCCAGAGACCATCCGAGACTATGCAAAACAGTTATGGACAACAGATGAGCGTTTGAAAGCAAGGACTATAGTGCTTTTGAGTGGAGATGGTGGTGTCGTTGATCTTCTCAACGGCTCTGATGGGAATCAAGTGCCAGAGAACCCACCTACAGTTGCCCTTCTTCCTCTGGGCACAGGAAACGCCCTCTTCCATTCTACCCACAAGCCACTTTACACCGAGCCTGGCCCAAGCCCACTTGTACTCGGGCTCCGAACATTATTCCAAGGTGTTGGCGCTGATCTTCCCGTCTTCCGGGCATCGTTCTCATCTGGGTCGCATATTGTCAAGTTCACGGACAAGTCTAAGGAACAATCTTCAACCCCAGACCCAAACCAGATTCAGAAGCAGGAGACGTCAGTCACGCACCTTCAGGGAGCCATTGTAGCTAGCTACGGCTTTCACGCAAGTCTCGTCCACGAGAGTGACACACCTGAGTATCGTGTTCACGGCGCAAAGAGATTCCATATGGTCGCTGAAGGGCTTCTGAAAGAATCTCACCCATATGCTGCAAAGGTGTCTATTCGGCGTCGAGGCTCTACTACGTTCGAGGATATTCCTCGTGAGTCGCATGCCTATGTGCTCACAGCTCTAGTATCGAACATGGAGCGAAAGTTCGCCATTTCACCCGCCACTAAGCCTTTGCAATCACAGCTTAGACTGGTCCATTTCGGACCTGTTGGTGGTGAGCGGACGATGAGTGTCATGATGAAGGCGTATGATGAGGGCAGTCATGTTGGTATGCAGTGGCCTGACGGAGAAAAGGTTGGCTATGATGAAGTCGACGAAGTCAAAATCTCGGTTCTAGAGAAAGGTGAGAGATGGCGGAAGGTGTGCATTGATGGGACTATCGTTGAGATACCTGAAGGTGGAAATATGAGTATCAAGATGCTTGATCACAGCCTCTTCAAGATCCTGGCAAGCCCCGTCGTTTTAGAGAGCCGGGAGCAGGCCTGATCCTCTACATACTCAGGAACGCTCTTCATGCACCTAAATAAATTTGCTCTATTCTTGAAGCAGCTTCTTGACCCTCTTCTCCATGAGCCGTTCAAACTCATCCACACCATTCTCCAGTGTATCCATCTTGCCACCCTTCAGCCTGTACACGATCCTTCTTCGCATGACTTCCTCATCGTCGTCATCTTCGTCTGTTTCCTCATCCTCGTCCACTGCACCCTCAATAACACCTCGCATAAACCATCGATCGTGACTTACTAAAATCACAGCACCCTCCCAATCCCTCAGCGCCTCTCTGAGTGCGGTCACGGTCTCGTAATCAAGGTGAGTCGTGACTTCGTCAAGAACAAGACAATGAGGTCGTCGCCATAGGAGACGAGCCAGTTCACAACGCACCACTTGCCCTCCAGATAGTTTACACAGGGGCACGTCAGATGCAATGCGACCTGGAAGACCAAGTTGGCCTAAAAGACCACGAAGGTCTCCTTCTGTGAGTTCGCCTTCGACTTCGCGAGTGAGAAGAGCAAGAGCTGTAAGGGCTGGTTCTTCACGACCAAGAGACTGCAGTGCCTCAACGGCATGCTGAGAGTAGTATGCCAACTTCAGTCGGGGATGTGTATTTAGAGTTCCCGATGTAGGTCGAGTCTCACCGACGAGGAGTTTGATGAGCGTCGACTTGCCCGCTCCATTGAGGCCAAGAATACCAATACGATCCCCCATGCCGACAGAAAGAGTGATATCCTGGACAATAAGTGGTGTCTTGGCTGAATACCGGAACGCAACCTTCTCGAGAGAGATCAGAGCACCCGGGAAGCGCAGGTCAGGAGGTTCAGGAAGATTCACCACGACAGGGCGGTCTTCTGGTGGAATGTCGATGTCATCACGCGCAGTCAAGTGAAAGCCAACAAGATCCCGATTGAGCTTGAAACGACCGCCCCTGGCGCTGACTTGTAACCCCCAGCGGTTATCAAGCTTCTTCTGACGAGACTTGGCCTGACGGAGTTTGTTGGTATCATCATTAGCCTTGCCAGCTTTCATGTTGGCAGCGATGGACTTCTCGATATGTGCTTTTTGCTTGTCCTGAGCTTCTTTCATGGTGGTAAGCCATTGTTTGCGCTCACTTTGCGATGCTTCGTAAGTAGGAAAATCGCCATGGAAGTAAGTAAGCTGTTTGTCTTTGAGAATAAGCAAATCGGTGCAAAGAGAGATGAAGTCTCGATCGTGTGATACGAGAATGAGGGTTGGTGGGTTCTCGGTTTCCTCTAGATTCTGAAGATAGCGTTGGAGCCAGATGATTCCCAAGAGGTCGAGAAAGTTGGTAGGCTCATCGAGGATGAGGATATCTGTTTCTTGAACCAGCGCAGTAGCAAGAGAAGCACGCATGTGCCAGCCTCCAGACAAGCTCGAGATGGGTTTCTGGATAAGAGTTTCAGAAAAGCCTAGACCGGTGAGGATCTTTTTAGCCTTGGACTCAATCTCTGACACACGAGATGGATCGGCCTGTACTTGAAGATCGGCGAGCATATCGACTGCTTCTTGAGTCTCAGCTTGAAGAGTTTCTGGTGAGATATCCTCATTGGATTGTCCCAGCCTATGAGAGTTAGACATATTGACGAAAGATGGAAGACAATTTTTACAGTTCATTTGACTCAGCTACGACCTTTTCGAAGGCAGTGAGTGCCTTGCGAGCTTGCATACCGCGAGCACCACTGCGAAGCCGAGCATCTTTATCGAGACGGAAGAGACGCTCTTGGTGCTTTCTGTGCTTCAGATGCCTCAATGCTTTGACTGGAGTATAGGGGTCAGAGGAATTTATTCCTTCTGTTAGATCTGCTTAAAGAGTTAGGTGAGGTCTGGGTTACAATGGTAGATGGAATACCCTTTATATCCTGTTCGATGGCATGTTTGGCTGTAGCTTCTTCGATGACTTGTTCCAGCACAGATGCTTTGTCGTCATTGTTGATATCAGATTTCTCCTCAGGCTTCTCATCAGTCAGCCTAGTTTGCTGCAGAATAGCAATCCTAGTCTCTTCTGGGATGCCTGGGATGAGTTTCTCAGCGATGGCTTTGAGTAGTGCTGGGTTATCACTGTTAGCACCTCATCAACAACAAAATCATGAGCACTTTCTTACTAGACTTTCCAGTTCCATTGCGTCCTACAAGAGCATATCTTTGGCCCTCCTTCAAACGAAGCTTGGCCCCAGCGAGAATCTCAATGCCCTCGCCTTTTGACTTTGCTTTTCCCTTGCCAGAAGGTTTGTCGCCTGAGGTCACAGTGATGTTGACTCCATCAATGTCAAGCTATCGATGGTGAGTACCAGAGGTAGAGAATGAGCGATGAGTTGGTGACGAACCTCGCGATGATTGGTGATTTGAAAGCGCGTTTGTTTGGAGTTGCAGAGAATAGTCGCTACAGATTCAGAGGCTGCCGACGTCATGATGAAGGTTGAGGAATTGAATAAAGCAACAGGAATAGTAGACGATCTAATGAATGAACTTGAGTTGCCAAAGAAGCAATCGCTATAAGTCGAAGCTGCCCAGAAAACAAGGCTTGATGATACTGATAAATTGGTCTTATTTATTAATTCTTCGAGTCTCGGGGATCTACATGCACAGTGTATAGTTTCGATATATTTTTCTTGGCTGAAAAACTTGGTATTCGCACTATTCGCATTCCCTATTCGTAATGCGACTGTTTGCTTGAATTGTCGCCTCTAGTGCGGTTGAAGTGCCACCATTTGTGGTGTTACAGCCTTACAAGTGCGTGACTCACGCCGAATGACTTGGCTCAACTCGCGATTACATGCACTTCCCCACGCTGCAATTAAGAGAAATAACAATTTTAGGAGAGAAATGGCGCTCTGACTGACTTTATATAATTTTGGTGCATGCTTGAGTCATACTCCCTTGTCCTTCCTCTGATAGTTCAAGTTGCATGTATCTCTATCTTATGAGAAGTTGTTGTGATTCTCAAGTTGATATTTACCCTTATTATCCTTATTCGCTACAGTGATTAACCACCTTCCTAATTCTGCCTCTCCTGTCTTATCACTTATGGCCAGGTAGGTATCTCCCAAATAAATAACAATCACTCTCTTCCCCCTCAACTCTTTCATTTCTTCTTCTTACAACTTCACTTGCTATCTCAATCACTATGAACTCTTCTGAGAATCTGTGCACTTCTTCTGTCGACGCTTCTTTCGGACCCTTTGTTGGCCCTGAATGTCGCGATGGCTTCGACTTTACTCTCGTCTTTGAACAGTCCATTCTTGTGCTGTCTCCAGCCGCTCTTCTTCTCATACTCGCTCCTATCCGACTTTTTCGTCTTCGGAATGTCCCCGTCAAAGTCACTGGCCACCGTCTTCGAACTGTCAAGTTGGCGTTGATCACTCTCTTGGCTGTGCTTCATCTCGTGCTCGTTGTGCTCTGGGCTACGCGCCCTTCCAATTCGCGTCTAGATCGCGTCTCTGTCGCTGCTGCATGTGTATCCTTTGCCTCAAGCTTGATGTCCTGTGTCCTCTCTCGTGTCGAACATGCCAAGTCTCCTCGTCCATCTTCTCTCTTGAGTCTGTTTCTCGCCGTGTCTCTGCTCCTTGATGTCGCCCTCCTTCGCACCCTCTGGCTTGTCCCTATGGGTGCGGCCATTCCAGCTGTTTTCACTGCGGCCTTTGCTCTGAAAGCGATTATCGTCGTTCTTGAAGGGTGGAGCAAAGCTCAGTATCTTGTCGCCGGCTCCGGGCCCCACTCTCCCGAAGTCACGGCCGGACTGTACGCCCGAGCCGTCTTTGCGTGGGTGACTCCGTTGCTGCTGACGGGATTTCGAAAGCTTCTACGACCGATGGATCTATTTGAGTTGGACGAGGAGATGAGCTCGGCGGGACTGATTGACGGATTCTGGAAGCATTGGCATACCCAGAAAGGTTTGTCTATTCCCCTCCCCTTCTTAGATAGCTATATAGTATTATACTTTAGACTCCTCTGTGATGTCCATGTACTAAATGCTGGCTTAGCTCCGGCTCGCAAACACCGACTGATCTCATGTTGCGTCATGACACTGCGGTGGTCTATCATCGCCGTTGTTCTTCCTCGCCTGGCGCTTCTGGCATTCACCATTTGCCAACCACTCATTCTCAACCGACTACTGGTATTTCTCGACGATGCCCCTCAGTCTATCAACATTGGTTACGGTATAATCGCAGCCTACGGTCTTGTTTACTCTGGCATTGCCCTCTCACAAGCCCTCTATTGGCATCGCAATGCTCGGTCCGTCACATTGTTGCGTGGAGTGTTGGTGTCTGCCGTGTTCTCCAAGGCCACCGATCTGAGTATCACGATAACAGACGATTCGGCGGCGGTGACGCTCATGTCCTCTGATGTAAGCACCCTTTTACAAAATCATGTATCGGGCTGACTATTTCCTAGGTCGATGTTATTGTGAGGGCGTCCAGAGAGATCCACGAGTTCTGGGCAAACATCATACAGCTAGCCATAGCTACTTGGCTGCTGAGCACTCATATAGGCTATGCTGCCGTAGGTCCCATTATAGTCTCGCTCATAGCGCTCATAGCCACGGTTCTCGTTTCGCCTCTGGCACGCAAGTATCAGATCTCTTGGTTAGACAAGACACAGAAACGAGTTGGTCAGTTTCTATATCTTTTCATCTATCAGACACTTACTCATACTGGACAGGTATCACTTCTGCCATGATTGGACATATAAAGAGCATCAAATGTTCGGGCCTGGCTCAAAGCTTGTCTGACACCATCCTCAACCTCCGAGCAGATGAGATTAAAGCATCGAGACCATTCAGAATCGTCAGCAGTGTCACTTCCGCAATTGCTCAAGTCCCTTTGCTCATGTCTCCCGTTGTGGCATTTGCTCTCTTCCAAGGGGTTGCCTCAAATTCTGGCGAGACTCTTGATGCTACTAGACTTTTCTCCGCTCTATCCCTTATCATTCTCCTGGCACAGCCACTTTTCTTTATGTTTGAGGTAATTCTTGACATGAGTGCTGCTTTGGGCGCCTTCGAAAGAATACAAACATTCTTGGCTCAAGAGTCTCGAAGAGATTCTCGCCAACAAGAACCAGTTGCAGAGTTTCACGGACCTGATCAAGGAAATAGAGACTCCATCGAGATGCAAATACTGAGAGAACCCTCGTCGCCATCTACAGCAAACTCCAGTATGAGGGAAGTTGTCATTCAAGTCTCCAATGCCAACATCTCGTGGTCAGAGGATCGTGTCATTCTTCGAGACTTGTCTTTCACCGTAGGCCGAAATCAGCTTGTCCTCCTTCTCGGCCCAGTTGCGAGTGGCAAAACCACGCTACTGAAAGCGCTTCTTGGAGAAGTTCCCTATATAAATGGATCAATCGATATTCATAGTAAGGAGATTGCCTGGTGCGAGCAAAGTCCTTGGCTTTTGGTATGCTTGTCCGACTTTTTTACTTGTTTCTAAGCTAACATGTCAGAACCGGACAATTCGTGAAAACATCATCGGCTACTCACACTTCGACCCTGTTCTATACCAGGCCGTTATTAAAGCTTGTGATATAGAGAAGGACTTCAGACAACTTCCCCAGGGTGACAGCACCGTTATTGGCAGCAAGGGGCTGGCCCTCAGTGGAGGCCAAAAGCAACGAGTTGTAAGTCAAGACAAAAGAAGGAAATAATTATATGCTAACTAGATAGGCATTGGCCAGGGCTGTCTATTCAAAGCCTCGAATTGCTCTCTTCGATGATGTTTTCAGTGGACTAGATGGCCAGACTGCCCGTACCGTGTTCGAGAACCTCTTTGGCGAACATGGTTTGCTTAGGAAGTGGAATACGACAACTGTTCTTGCGATTCAATCGGGTATAACAGTCCAATTATTTCGCAAACATACTTGCTAACGTGATCATAGTTGACTTTCTATCGTCTGCTGACCACATAACTTGCCTTAACAAGAATGGAAAGATTTCCGAGCAAGGCACATACTCTGATCTCAAAGACACTGACGGCTATGTGCACTCCCTACTGAGAGACAGAGTTCATGGGGGTGAAGCTTCGACGATCGTAACTGACGATATCAAAGAACAGGCCTCCAAGCTAGCACAAGCGACTCCAAAGCAACAAGCTAACGAAGAAGATACACGAAGACAACGTGGTGACTCCACTGTATATCGATACTACTTCAGCAGCACTGGCGGTCTTTTTATGATAGTACTTCTAGTACTCGAGATCATCTGGGCCTTTCTGGAAAGTTTCCCGAGTTTGTCACCTGGTATCTAGTTACTGTTTGAGACACTGACATAAACTAGCAATCTGGCTGAAATTCTGGACTGATGACAATGCGAATGGAAACGATCAAGCAGGCTATTACCTTGGTATCTATACCGCTCTCCAGGTCACCGCAGTCATCTGGTTTGCAGTTCTTATATGGTACTCTATAAAGATTCTCGTTGCACGTACTGGAGACTGACTGCAGCAGGTTTGTCATTGTCCTGGTAGCGGCAAAGTCTGGAATAACTCTGCACAAGAGACTGTTATCTACAGTAGTCAGGCAAGTCGATGGATTGTCGTAGAAATGGACTATCAACTAACTCTCTAGGGCACCCCTGTCTCTCTTTACCACGACAGACCTGGGATCAATCACAACGCGGTAAGCCGATATAGCAAAAGTGGTTTCGAAAGCTAACAAATGGAGGTTCTCGCAAGATATAGGAATGGTGGACAACCACCTCCCTCTTGGTCTCGTTGTGACTCTCGCCAGTAAGCCAAGATCCCGGCTCACCAAGTGATTAATTTACTAATAGAATAGGTTTCTTCGGTGCCATCGCAAAAGCCGGCCTCCTCGCCTCTTCAAACCCCTATATAGCAGCTGCATTCCCTCTCCTGGGAGCTGTCTATTTCTATCTTCAACGTGGCTATCTCCGTACCTCTCGTCAGCTCCGTCTACTCGATCTTGAGGAGAAGGCCCCTCTATATACCCAGTTCCTCGAAACACTCTCCGGTTTAGCAACCATTCGAGCCTTCGGATGGAGAGATGCAGTTATTCAGGCCAACCACAGTCTCGTAGATCGCTCACAGAGGCCCTTCTATCTTCTAATGATCGTCCAGCGTTGGCTCGTCCTCGTCCTCGATCTGACCACCGCGGCCCTGGCTCTCCTTCTTGTTGGTCTCGCGGTTCGTCTTCGTGGGCAAGTCGATGTAGGTTTAACGGGCGTATCTCTCGTGCAGCTAATCTCGTTAAGCGAGACAGTGAACCTGCTTATTCAGTTCTGGACTTCTATCGAGACATCCATTGGTGCTGTAGCTCGCATCAAGCAATTCGCTGAAGAGACTGGCGAGGAGAACTTACCGGGAGAGACACACCAGCCCCCAGCCCAGTGGCCCGACAAAGGAGCTATAGAGATCAACAACTTGACTGCATCGTACGGTGACGGAGACGGGGAACTTATTAAAGCTCTTGATGCAGTCAGTTTGGAGATCAAAGGAGGGGAGAAGGTAGGTATTTGCGGTCGCACAGGAAGGTCAGTATTTCACCCCAATACCTCTCTCGCTCTAACCGTCTTTTGCTCCCAGTGGAAAATCATCTATCTTTCTTGCTCTTCTGAGACTACTAGAATCTACGTCTGGCAGCATCGTTATCGATGGGATCTCTCTATCTTCCGTTCCTCGAGAAACGATCCGTGGTCGTCTCATCACTCTGACGCAAGACCAGTTCGTACTCCCCGGCACGGTTCGACACAACGTTGATCCGCTTGGTCTCTACTCCGACGTGTCGATCGAAGACGCACTTCGTCTCGTTGAACTATATGATTCGATCGAACGACATGGGGGCTTGGATGCTCCGTTTGATCAAGACACGTTGAGCCACGGGCAGAAGCAGCTCTTCTTCCTAGCACGGGCAGTGCTGAGGAAGAACGACGGGAGAATCGTGCTTTTGGATGAAGCAACGAGCAGGCAAGTCGAACAAACAATGCAACTACGAGCTAAGGTACTAACAGAGCCATAGTGTGGACCAAAAGACAGGAGAGACCATCAAAACCGTCATCGAGAGCGAGTTCAAGGACCACACCGTCGTGTTTATCACCCACCGTTTGGATACGATCATCGATTTCGACCGCGTAATTGTGATGGACAAGGGGTGCGTCGTCGAGCTCGGTGAACCAAAGAGTCTCCTTGCATCAGGCGCCAAGTTCAAAGCTCTCTGGACAAGCGGACATCGATCTGGAAAATAATTCACTGACGGACAAATGCTGGGAGACAATTTGCATCCTTATGTCTATATATCATCTAAGCTGTCGCGTTCTACGACAATGAATCTTCCCTTGCCTGCTCTCATGGTTCTGATGTGCCTGTCGACATCCTTGGCCGTTTGAACTCCCTCTCGATAACGCAATCTCTCAGATGGCATAGCGTCAGGGCCAGGAGTCCACCCTGTATAGAGCCGAAGCACAGTGATCTTGCCCCAATGATCAGCCCAGTTGACAAAATCATGCCCAGTTTCGGCCATCAGTGCAGGGAACCAAGGGCAGCAACCTGTGAGGTCAAGAAACTCGAGCGCATAGAGGTTCTTACTCAGCATGCGCAATACGAGTAAAGCCTCACTCCAATCGTGATCAAGTGAATGTGAGTAAAGGTTCGTCCCGCCATAGGCATAACGGCCTTGCGGGCTCGATACGGTGGCCAGGCGAGACCTCGGCGTTAAGCATGGTTCGGGCCAGTAGGCCAGACTCAAATGCGTGAGCGTGGTAAGCCTAGGAGACAATGAAAGCAACTGCTTCCATGATGCGGATGAGGCATGTCCGGGATGCAAGGCGAGCGAAAGGTGGGTGAGGTTGGGCAGCAAACTTCGGGGAGGGCTTGGAATACTGTCGGAAGCGTCCCAGGATTCCTGTAGTTCTGTCGTGGGTTGATCTTCTCTGGCAGGGAATAACAAGTCACTGATCTCTTTCAGTTTAATTGACCGGCATGCGGAGCCCGAAAGATCGAGGTAGTTTACTTCAGGATTCGAAGCCGTTAAACTATTCAGCTCGGTCTCATCAAAAGTATCTGGCGGCGGCAACAGAATGAGCTTCAAATCACTCAAAGACAGCCCAGCTTCACTGGCGATTCCAACATAGCGGATGAGAGCCGCCTTCAGATGGTTGGGCACAAAGTACAGATGGTACTGATTGTACACTCTGTGGAAAGCCCACTCGTATGCGAGTTTCTGCAGCACGATGTCTATCAGACTCCCACGATCCGGGAGATAAGTGCCCGGCAAGCAAGTGTCTTCCAATCCTCTTGACTTCAAGCGCGACTGGCTCATGGAGGAGGCCTCATGAGCAGCATCCGATGAATTACGGGCGACCCAACTCCTGGGGGGAGGAGGGCCAGCAGGGAGTCTCCTGCCATTGCCATCGAATCTCTGACGGGCAAGACGGCGAGGAGCAGGGGCCGGCGTGTCTGGAATCTGGAGGATCTCCCTGATGGCCGGGGGTACACTGGGAGCAGCAACAGGCAGGACTGACTGCGAGGTGGAGGAGGGGCTGATCGAGGTACGACGCAGGTTTGCTAGCAACTCATTGACGCTTCGGGAGGGCCTGTCTGCTGCGTATTGCTTGTGAGACTCTGGCTACCACGCGGTTTGAAGAAGATATGGGGAAGAAGGAGGGGGGGTTTGAAAGGAAGCGAACCGAGAGGTGGCCGGCCGCCGGGCGATCAAGAGGAGAGGAGAGGAGACCAGACCAGACCAGACCAGAGGGGAGGGGTGTGTGCTTGTGCCATTCCAGCTGCACAGGCATGATTGTACAGCACAGAGGAGCAAGCAATCAAGCAAGCACTGCAGCACTCACCAGAATTATTCGTCGATGTTGACGCAGTCGGAGAAGCCGTTGAGACTGGCTTGAAGGACTTGATGTTGTTCCTTTTCTTCGGCATGCCCGGGACAAGCAGTGGACTTCTCTCTACAGCTGTTGCTTCGTTGAAGCTGAAGCTGGAGCTGTAAGAGTGAGAAGAGAGAGAGAGAGAGAGAGACAGTCAATCAGTCAGTCAATCCAGGTACGACGACGCTATGAGGGTATTTGTCTATTTGTCTAGGACCGTGTATCAGCCTCGATGAGTCAAGCAAGTACCATAGACGCTCATCATCTGCCTAATTCTAAGTGAGTGAGCAAGTGAGAGAGAGAGAGGCAGGGAGTGGTAGGAGTGGGAGTCCAGTTTGACCGAGAAATGATGAAGGATCGAAAGAGTCATCATCAATAAATGGGTCCCTCATGAGTCCTCAGGTAACCAACAATTACGTCTGTTTTTCGCCCATGACGGCAGTTCCAGGCTGGTCTTAGTGTCCCCACAGGCGCCAAGCCACTGCCGATGAGCGCCCACAAAGTCATCAGACCCCTGTTGCCCTGATAGTGGATGATTGAGGTGCCCGCTGGACATTGACTGTAGGTGCTAAGGTACAGTACCTCGAGAGACATCCACGAGTTGAGGTGAATATCGATACTAGACAAGATGATATCGGCAGATTTGTCAGAACCATGACAAACTCGAATGGATCACAAGATTGCCAATATTGATCATTTGACAAACTCCCCCAATGGAGTTGCTATAGCAAAGTAACCCATATCAAGCAAAGATACGCCCATGCCTCCCTCACTTTCACTTGTTCGGTATAAGACAGTGGAAATGGATTCGATAACCCATGTAAACCTGAATCACCGCCAAAGCCCAATCAATAACGCATGGCCTATAATCCTGTTTGTTTGCTTGTCTGTACTCAGTAAACCAGGCCTTTCATGGATCGTTCAGGACCAAATGCATATGCGATGAAATGCTGTGTAATAACTGCACTCTATTGCCGTGGCTTGTCAAGACAAAAAAGCCCCACCGGCCGGCGATGATGTGCATAAGGTACCTATGGATTGGATGCCCACCTACTCACCTCGACTTACACGACTGCGCTGAGGTGTGGTCTAGGATTGATACGGAGGACGCTATTATAATGTACCAATCGCTGATCTGAACTGTACTCACCCCTTGAAATGGGGTCTATTATTATCTTGCATCAGGATATCCGCTACCTCGTCTATTGGTCTCTACCTACTTACTATGTAGCTAATGCAATGCAAGTCATGAGCATGTCAGTCAAATTATTTCGTAAAGAATCTGATACAGCAGTTGTCAAGGGTTCCAAATGTGTGCGTACAGGTCGGAGCAGGGGTCCTAGATAGACTGTTCGGATACCTGCATGCCTCAGCAGTTGGAGCATCAGCCTGAGAACTGCCGCTACATCATCCTGCAATTTCTGTTGGTCATCTAATCATAGAAACAGTTATCTGTCACCGCTACTTGTCTTGGCCATGTTTGCTTACCCCAGAGACTAGTGCTTCAGAAAGCGATGCTACTACTATAAGCCCGGCAGTTCTTCGTTGCCCCCTGGGGTCAATGATGGGATCTCCATCCTGGATGTGATGGATCAACGGTTCCTGAATCGTTTGAGCGTTCTTCGGCAGGGCGCCGCCGCGAACTATGGACAGCTGCGTGCCAAGTTTCATCCAGGGAGCTGGAGGGTTGCACAACGTCCTTCGCCACCAGAGTTATATGCTCCTGGGCAGGGTTATCAATGGCCATGCTACAGACTATACCGTCATTCCCATGTTAAAGAGAGAAATGATTGTTTGCTGGTATTCTCACAAGGTGGCAGCTGCCCGTTGCTAGTGATGACCGGTGAGCAACAGTCGAATCATGCTGATTGGAAGTCGTCTCATTCCAACCTGGGGTGCTGTAAAGGTAGCGATTATGATAGGCACCCCACGATGAATACTCTGTCACAACATTACCAAAGCAAACCATCAAGACATATGAAGCTGTTATCGAGGGCCTGGACCTTGGTCTTGTTTGCCTTGCCAGAATGCTGCAATTCCCCCTGGTTCATGATTAATTGGTTACCAAATTAACATTTATTTGTACTCCCAAGCTTTATCATGTCTCACAGAAAGACTTTTTCGACGAGACCTTGGCTGCCGGCTCATGCTCAAACTGCGCAAGGCTCAGTATCAGGATCCCATCGCGGATCCAGGAGCAGCATCCGGCAGAGGAACACCGCAGAGGGTCCACTTGTTGGTCAAGACCTCCTTCTTGCTTCACCTCCATACAATTCGAGATTAGCTCTTATTGTTGGGTTTGACAAGATGCTCAATTGGGAAACCAGAAGCGAACAAATCTGGCTGACCAGCCCAATTTGAAGCAAAAGACGGCTATGCGGTCCCGAAGAATCCAGCAGGTATTCTCCGGCGTTCCCTCAGGCCAGGAGTGATGATGAAATGAATATTGATAATTGTATCGAGATCTGATAATGAGGCCTGATGGATGAGTGGTAAGAAGGGATGCTGAGCCAGTTGAGGGTGGCGATATTGATCCTGGACATGTCCAGGCTACTTACAGAGAATCAGAAAGACTGTTGGTCTGGGGTAGAAAAGCAACCCCCCTTGACAAATGGAATAACGTCACTTAGATGAGAAGGTGATCTTGGATTAGGGCATCTAAGAATTCTTTGATTACTCTCCAGTTATTGCCGTTTCGGGCTCGAGACAGCGGCGCCTTATCTATACCAAGGGACAATAGCCAAGTGAAATAGTTCCCTCTGGCTGGATTTCGCCCAGCCAATGCTAGGTTTACAAAAACACAAGGGGGGTATAGGGTGAATCCTTTCAGACAGATGTTCTTCATGCCAAAGGCTTGTCCCGATTAGGAGTAGAATAGCTTGACTGCAGGGCGGATTTTGAGGTGGAAACTCATGTCAAGCAAGCTTCATTGTCTCTCCTCCAAGAATCTGTCTTGATTCTGCATCCATTAAGTTATGTGTGACCCAAAAACGACCTCGTGTGTTCTTGTTCTCAAGAGGATGTTGGTGTGTTACTACGGGTCGTAAGCCCCCTTTGCTGACCGATATGGATGCCTTTTCAGTATTCATCGACAAGTACATTCTGGTCATATGAAGCCTCTTTACCGTATGAAGCGCCTATACTACCTGTCAGGTTTCTTTGTCCACTTCAAGATTACCAACAAGGCAGGCGATGGTAATCTCCGTCTGTACTATAATTCTTAGTCTGTCCCTGATGTAACAGAGTCAAAAGGTTAATAGAACCTTTGTAACGACTCCACTGGTGCATGTCGTGAACCAACAAAAGCCTCACTGTTCGAAGAACGTTAGGCAACGAGATAATGAAGTCGGTTCTGCTGGGTGTCTGTCTGC